ATGGCACTCTACCCAGGGGGATAGCTTGAGGCTCTGTCTCAAAAAAAAAAAAAATAATCCATATAATCAGTAACTATTATAATTTTACTAAAGAATTTGTGTCTTGAAATCTCCAAATTGATGAAGAATTAAAATCTGGGGCTGGGCATGGTGACTTACACTCTAGCACTCTAGGAGGCCGAGGCAGGTGGATTGCTTGAGCCCATGAGTTCGAGACCAGCCTGAAGAGACTCCGTCTTTACTAAAAAAAAATAGAAAAACTGAGGCAAGAGGATTGCTTGAGCCTGAGTTGGAGTTTGCTGTGAGCTATGATGCCACGGCACTCTACCCAGGGCAACAGCTTGAGACTTTATCTCAAAAAAAAAAAAAAAATTAAAATCTGGGCCAGGTGAAGTGGCTCACACCTATAATCCTAGCACTCTGGGAGCCAAGGCAGGTGGATTGCCTGAGCTCAGGAGTTTGAGATCAGCTTGAGTAAGAGCAAGACCCCATGTCTAAAAATAGCCACGCATTGTGGCAGGCACTTGTGGTCCCGACTGCTTGGGAGGCTGAGGCAAGAGGATCATTTGAGCTCAAGAGTTTGAGGTTACTGTGAGCTATGACACCACAGTCCTCTACCAATGGTCACAAAGTGAGACTCTGTCTCAAAAAAAAAAAAAAAAGAAAGAAAGAAAAATCTGTTTCCTTTTGTACTTATAGAGGGAAAAAAATAAAAATCTTATCATTAAGTAGGATAATTAGTTGATGTTACTATTTGATATTACAAAATCTCATGTGTCTGTTTTAAAAACTCATTTTAGCTGCTGTTGTGTGTAGGAAATTTCTTTGGCTCCACTTCAGATTCTGAATGGGAGGAGTATAAGACTGGCGTCAAGAAAGGTATAGAAATTATTTTATTTAACATGATTTTTAACAAAATGTCAAGGGCTGCAGTTCTTGCTGGGTTATTTTTTGCATATTGATTCTTAAACACTTTCCCTTTTGAGCTCTGCATTGAGCGGGAAAGGATGTCTATACATAATCTGCATGCTCACATTTAGAATTTGGTTTAGTTTAGTTCCAGAAAAATAGTACTCTTCTAGGTTGGCAGGAACTAAATAAATACAACCATGTGTTCTTTCTTTTTTCTAGTTTAGGGTAATTGTTAGGCACTTAAGAGCTCTGGTTTTCTCATTATATCTGGACCATTCTCTTTAAGATTGCATGTTGTTGACCTAGAGACACCAAACTAATCAGTCTATAAGATTGAGTGTAGTATATCCTTAGTGGTGAGCATGTTCCACGTTTAGGATTGCTTTGGGGGCAATGCAAATACATAGACTCTTTACTTTTGTTATGAGTGTTTAATAGGGAAGTTTTCTCAAGTTCTAAAGCACATCTAGTTAACTGTATGGTTTCATGTCTGTTTCCCTCACTAGCGCCTATTCAGACGTATGTGCTTGGTGCCAATAACCAGGAAACAGTAAAATATTTTCAAGATGCTGATGGGTGTGAATTAGCTGAAAACATTACTTATCTGGGTAAGTTGATATTTTTTGTGTTTGTAGTGAATATAATATAGCATTCTCAGGAATTAGCCACCAAGAAATTTTGGGCTGGGTCTTTCTGCCATTACTGTGTCAGAGAATGGGGGTTGGATGGTTTCCCACAGTCTATGTCTGTGCCCTTAGAAAATGTCATTTTTCCTTTAGTGTCTCCTCCACTTCCCTCCAATCTCCTTGTGTTCCCACAACCCAACACATACTTTTTTTTTTTTTTTTTTTTAGCTAATTAGAAGGAGAAACTCCTGCCTAATGGAGTGTATGGAGTACTGAAGATATAAATTATGTTCAAATAAAGGAACATATATGTGCATATATGTGGCCTTACCATACTACCTTGATAGATTTACATAAGTTACTTATTTGTTAGGCTCCCAACTAGTTACTGCTGTAGTTTTCACTCTAAGGTTTTGGTAACTCACTCACTTGAGTTTTCATTGCTAATCCTTGGGTTTATTCATTCCCTTTGTCTTTTTTCTGGTTCCAACTTCACTGTTCAATTTCATTTTACAGTTGTTTACATAGTCTACAACCTTCTTTGCTCCTTTTAGTGGTTCTTTCATTGTCTAGCTATTTTCAAAAGCACTGTCAACTTTTATTTTTGTTTGTCCCCTATTTGCTGTCAGTCTACTGATTCTTGGATCATTCAACTCTTTTTTTTTCTTTCTTTCCTAAAATGACTCCACTGCGTTCAACATTTCCTCTTTGTTTCGTGTCTAATTTCCTTAGAAAGCTTCCATATTCCCTTTGTTGTAAATACTCTTTTCCTCCCTACCATAGTTCATCATGGCCATTGTCTTTATATCTGGCTGTGGCCCTCGTTGTAGCAATCTCATCTTGCTTCAATCATGTGGGACTCCTTTAAACAAAAAATTGAGGGAAGGATGTTTAATTTTTATTTTTACTCACAGTTGTGAGATATACACTTTGAAATTGTATTGTAGATCTTAAACATGGACTTGACTCATGGCAGTTCTTGGTGTAGTTTTTAGATTTAGATTAAGTACTACTGCAGATATTTGGCAGCCATTTTACTATAAGAATTTCATGCCAGGAGTGGAAAGAGTGGCCAAAGCACTTGTGTTATTTCTATAAAATAGAGTTTTTGGATCTAGTAGAAAAAGGAAGCATGAACTTGATAGTGAAAAAGTTTTAGTGCTTGAAGTGCTTGTAGACTACCCAACATATAGTTGGAAGTGATAGCTCTTTCTAGAGTATCAATGTTGAAGAGTATAGGTGTTGAGGAGTTGGTTCCATAAAGATGAAAAATAAAGCTGAGAAGAAGATCAAATTGTTAAGGAAGAAATACAGTGAGAAGGGAAGCAGATAGATAGATGACATCCATAGAGAGGGTATTCCTTCATTTAGGGGTTAGGCAAAGAGAAGTGAAAGTTCTTAGAGGAGTATCTGGAGAGGTAAAGATATTGTCAAGTTCATAGAATCTAAGTGAAGACAACCTAGTTTCAGGAGAAGAGACCATTAGCAATTATAGGTGATCAGCAACCATTAGGAGAGCACTAGGAGAGGAGAACTAGATTTCAGTGGCTTAAGGAACAATTAAGAGGTAAAGCATTCAGAGAGCATGGACTGCTCTTTAGAAATTGAAACTAAAGAAGAGGAAATTTTTCAGTGTGTGTTCATTTTATATGGGGATGACTGAGCATTAGAGGAGAGTCAATAAACAAAAAAGGAGGTAAGGCTTGTTGGAGCAAGATCTTGGAGGCAATAAGAAGGCCCACAAGTGGTAGATAACTCTAGAAAAGAATAGCATCTATGATTTTCTGCAAACATTTGTTCTAGCCTCTTGGACGTTGCTGCTTCCCTGAAGAATACATCTTTTAGGGACTGTAGTTTCTTGAGATCTGCAATTATTTTTTGTTTCCTCATTGCCTCTTTCTCTGTCCAGGTGTATGGATTTCTATTAGTCCATGTAGAGTCTTCTTTAGAAAGCCTTTTTCTTGATGTTTTGCTTGCCAACTTTTCTTAGTAGTATTTGTAAGGCACCTGGAATAGTCAGACTGGCTCATGGGCTCCAGCAGCCTTCACATAGGGGGCTGCTTAACTTACTGAACAGGAATACTGTTGAAGCCATGCAGCACTGATACTGGCAGTCGAAAGGGAGGGCTATAGGAGAGCTTATACTCCCTCAGGCATGCAGAATGGCAGAGACTCTGGAGAGTCATGGCGTGGGGAAATTGATCATCATCTTGATGGCATTTTGTTCTGCAGTTTTGACTAAAACTTGTTTATTTTTCTTTAAATCTAGGTCGTAAAGGTATCTTCACTGGAAGCTCGGGGCTACAGATTGTGTACCTCAGTGGGACAGAGTCCTTACATGAGCCAGTCCCAGGTTACAGTTTTAGTCTCAAGGATGTGTCTTTCCTGAGAACAATGCTGTGTTCAACCCCCCAGTTTAAGGGTGTTGATATTTTGCTCACGTCCCCGTGGCCCAAGTATGTGGGGAACTTTGGGAATTCTTCTGTGAGTAGTGCTTGTTTGGTTGGAATATCTAAAAGCAAATTGCACTGGATTGATCTGGATTTTTTGTTTTTTGTTTTGCTGTTTGAGTATTTTAGCTCTTGATGTGTTTCACTAGAAATCTTTCATGAATTTTTTTCAGGGTTCTAAATGGTGTCTTAGCGGACCAACGCAAAAGTTGATCTTTCGAAAGTGTGATTCATGGATGAGATTGTTGAAATCTTAATCATAAGTGAATGGTTTTTAAAATCGTATTCTAAAAAAAAAAAAAGAAAAATTGTATTCTCTGCTGCAAGTGTCCTCTCTCAGCCCTCCTTTTAATGTTTTGAGGGTTCACTAATTTTCAGTGAAAAGTTACAGCTAGTGGCTGCTCTGTAGTTGTACATGTATTTTCCCCCTTCTATTCCAGATTATTACTTGTTGCCTATCAGCCTATTTTTAAAATTAAATCATTATGGGATAGAGGCTAGGGATCCAAAGATCCAAGGAAGGGAAACAGGGTGTTGAAAACTTTGTACTTCTATACTAGGAACACTTTAATAATTAGCATGCATTGGAGCTTACCATTACCTTTGATTTTAATATTTTTATAAGTAATCTTGAAGAGAATGTGCACCAGGAATGATAGATATCATAGGAAGTGAAATAGTACATTGGTGTAAATAAGCCTAAGGAAGATCTTGAAAAGGTGGTGTGTGAGGGCAGAAAGCATCAGCTGAGCTTTAGTGAAGAGAAATGTAAGAATACATTTGGGGACAAATCTACATGAATGGATTCAGAATTATCAGTGATAATCCAGAACAGGACCCTGTAGACCATGCCCTGCCTACCAGCACCATGTCTCTGGCCAAAAAAGGCCAAGAAGATACCAGCCATTGTCAGGAGGAAAGTTGATAGAAAAAGAGTCAGAAAGAAAGGAAAAGAGTCAACATTCTTTTTTGGGGGGAGGGGACAGAGCCTCAAGCTGTTCCCCTGGGTAGAGTGCTGTGGCATCACAGCTCACAGCAACCTCCAACTCCTGGGCTCAAGCAAGTCTCCTGCCTCAGGCTCCCAAGTAGCTGGGACCACAGGTGCCTGCCACAATGCCTGGCTATTTTTTTGGTTGCAGCCGTCATTACTGTTTGGCGGGCCCCGGGCTGGATTTGAACCTGCCACCTTTAGGTGTATGTGGCTGGTGCCTTAGCCACTTGAGCTACAGGTGCCGAGCCAAGAGTCAACATTCTTTTTCCTCTTTCATGGTTATTCTTCACCTAGAAAACACGGGGTAGTGCAGTGTAGCACAAGGATATAGCAAAGTTAGGGAAGCTCAGAGAAGGGCTGTTAAAGTGATGATGGAAGGGTGAAGGACACACACAATGCTCTATAAGAAAGGATGAGAAAATGAAGCCTGTTCATTTTGGGGGGAGCTAAAAAATTTTGATCAAAGTTTATAAATAATCACCCAAGGTGTTTATGGTAGAGAAAAGTATAGTTTAGTCCCTAAAATACTGCAACTAACCTCAAGGCTAATTCCCTACCCTTCAGCAGAAACCTGAAGGAGGCAAGAATAAGACAAAAGGAAGTTCCTGCTTTACTTAGTGGAACATAAACTTTGGTAATTTTTTTATTTCCAGCTAATACTTTCTCAGAATAAAATTTGTAAATAATGTTATGGATGAGAGATCATATAATTGGTTGTTAATGGAAGCTAAGGAGGTTCTGAAAACAAGGCTGACTTTAGACAAACAATGCTATTTACCAACTTTGTAAGAAGTTTGTGGTTGTGGCCTTTTCACAAATTGCCACTTACAACAACTGCCACTTCCTTAATTGAAGCAAAATAAAAGCATAGATGCTTATGTAACAAGGTTCTTGAGTATTTTATACCAAATATTCTATGAGTCCTGGGGCCCTATGGGCTAACTTTTATTTTCTACATTGTCAGAATTGCATATGCACTATAAAGTAAACTAGCGCAGTCTGTGGGCTCTAGATAGAGCACTTTCAAAAAAAGGTTTTAATAATCCATGTTTTGGGAACTAGTATGGAGGAGTTACCGTACTTTTTAACTTCTGTCTACCAACAATTGTACTTATTTCTGCATTTTTAACAGTCCTGGGCTCAAGTGCTCCTCCTGTCTCAGCCCCCTGAGTAGCTGGGACTGTAGGCATCCGCCATGTTGCCAGGCTAATTTTTCTATTTTTAGTAGAGATGGGGTCTCATTCATGACTCAGACTAGTCTTCAACTCCTAAGCTCAAACAATCCTCCCACCTTGTCCTCCCAGAGTGTTAGGATTATAGGCATGAGCCACCAAGCCCAGGCCCTTATTTATTTGATTATTCTCTGATTGCAATAAATATGAAATGAACTGTGCAAATCTTTCTGCCCACATTTATGTCCACATATAAATTTCAAAGACATTTCAGTGTGTTGTTACTTCTTTGCATTTCTTTATTACTCTTAGGTTGTAATGGATGACTGAGTTTCTATTTATTAGGGAGACGTGGATACCAAAAAATGTGGTTCTTCTTTGATCTCCACTCTTGTTGCTGGCTTGAAACCAAGATATCATTTTGCTGCTTTGGAAAAGAGCTATTATGAGAGGCTTCCATATCGGTAAGTAGCATTCCATTCCTTTTAGCTTTTTGAAGAATTTGATTTGGATCTCTTGTATAAATTTCCCTTGTTCATTTTTAGCCATATGACATATTACTTCTGTTTGGTTACTCAAACACGGAAATGGGTGACTTTCAAGTTATTCACCTTCTCTGAGTTTGTCCCCTAATTTGAAATACAAGGGATAGGAATATAAGGGTTGGAGGTAACAATTCTTTTTAAGCATTTTTAGCTCCTTTGCAGCACATTAGGTCCTGTTTTGATCAGGTCAAATTAGTACTGTATAGTCTTGATGACTCAGTTCTCAGTATAATCAAGTTGACTCTGAAGTATCATAAGTAATAAAGGGATAAAGGATATGGATAATCTCTTTATCCCAAGTTTACCCTAAAAGGATAACTGTTTTTTTTTCCACAAAAGTAATATAGTTTATGTGCTTGTTGTTGCCAGCTCAAAAACTATAAGTGAGCAAAAAGAAGAAAATAATCCCTTGATAAGCTTGATATGTAATCATAGATAATACAGTTTTAGTGCCGTGACGTCACAGCTCACAGTAACCTCAAACTTTTGGGCTTAAGCAATTCTCTTGACTCACCCTCCTGAGTGGGACTACAGGCACCCACCACAATACCTGGCTATTTTCTGGTCACAGTTGTCATTGTTGTTTAGCAGGCCTGGGCCAGGCTCGAACCTGCCAGCCTCGGTATATGTGGCAGGTGCCCTACTCACTGAGCTACAGGCGCCTAGCCAATATACAGTTTTTTCTATTAAATCTCACTATATGCATTCCAGAGAAATCTCTTATTCTTTAAAACTAGAGGTTATGGGAGCAAGACACTCAAAACCTATACAACTTTTAAGGATCTGAATATACAGTTCTTCATAGAACATATACAAACAGCCAATAGGCCCATGAAAAGATGCTCATATCATTAGCCATTAGGGTAAAGCAAATCAACATCACAATGTACCACTTCACACCCGCTAGGATGGCTATAATCAAGAAGGCAAATACATAATAACAAATATTGGCAAGGATGTGGAGGAACTGGAACCCTCATATGTTACTGGTGGGAATGTAACATGGTATAGCCACTTTGGAAGACAGTTTTTCAAAAGGTTAAACGTAAGAGTTACCGTATGACCCAGCAATTCCACTCTTGTTCCAAGAGAAATAAAAATATATATTCACGCAAAAAACTTGTACACAAATGATCATAACAGCATTATTCATTACAGCTTAAAAGTGGAAACAACCCAAATATCCATCACTTGATACATAGATAAAGGTGGTTGCATAGCTCTGTGACTATATTCAAAACTATTGAATTTTATATGTAAAACATGTCTATTTTGTGATATGTGAATTAGGTCTCAAGCTGTTGAAAATAACAAAAAAACAGCTCGCCGCTTGTAGCTCAATGGCTAGGGTGCTAGCCACATACACTGGGGCTGGTGGGTTCAAACCCGGCCCAGGCCTGCTAAACAACAATGACAACTACAACAAAAAAATAGCCAGGCATTGTGATGGGCGCCTGTAGTCCCAGCTACTCTGGAGGCTGAGGCAAGAGAATCGCTTAAGCCCAAGAGTTTGAGGTTGCTGTGAGCTATGACAACATAGTACGCTACCAAGAACGACATAGTAAGACTTTGTCTCAAAAAAAAAAAAAAAAAACCTATACAATTTTTTTAACCGGAGCTATAACCAAAATTGATAAATATCATAATAGATACTAGCATTAGTTGAATCTTCACTAGCCTTTGCATCTAGAATTATTAGTCAGTCATGCTTTGCATCCCTGTATCACGAGTCTTCTTCCTCCTTGGGGAGGAGTTTATGATAATTAAAAACATTATCCAAGCATAGCATTCTTTATCAGTCATTTTTATTTTAAAATAAGTGAAGGAAATGTCTTCACAACATTTTTATCTATACTTGTGGTTTCCCTGCAGTATCAGTTTTCTATTGCTGCTGTAACAAATTACCATAAACTTCACTTATAGAGGCAGACCTATATTCTTTGGCTCATGGTGCTCTTGGTCCACCTTAAAGCCAGCAACTGGCGTGAATCCTTTTTGGAACTCTGACCTTCTGATTCACTTTTCCCTCTGACTCTTTTCTGTGCCCTTTCCCATTTTTTAACTAATTTTTTTGCAGTTTTTGGCTGGGGCTGGGTTTGAACCCGCCACCTCTGGCATAGGGGCTAACGCCCTACTCCTTTGAGCCACAGGCACCACCCGCCCTCTCCCATTTTTATGGACTCTTGTGGTTGTGCTGGGTCTACTCAGGTAATTCAGGATCATTTCCCTCTGTTAAGGTCAGCCAGTTAGCAACCAATTAGCTGATTAAGTCCATCAGACACTATAATTCCTCCATTGCTGTGTAAGCTAGTATATTCACATATTGTGGAGACTATGACATGGATATGGGGACAGGGATTATTATTATTTCTGCAAGATATTCAGCTATTGTTTTCCTTAATGTCTTTATATATTATTAAGCTTCTATTTAATTGTGAAACTTCTTTCAATCTTTTTTTTCCTTGAGACAGAGTCTTACTTTGTTGCCCTGGTAGAGTGTCACGGTGTCATCATAGTTCATAGCAACCTTGAACTCCTGGACTCAAGTGATCCTCCTGTCCTAGTTTTTCTATTTTTAGTAGAAATAAGTTCTTACTCTTGCTCAGGCTGGTCTCGAACTCCTGAGTGTAAACGATCTGCCCACCTTAGCCTCCCAGAGTCCTAAGATCATAGTGCGAGTCACCATGCCTGACTGCAATCATTTTTTTAAATTGGCAAAAATTGCACATGAACCAGCATGACTTTCCCCTAATACTGACATTGGTCCCCTATTTACCAAGTATGAATGTGCCTCTGTTCATTAAAGAAATAACTTGTAGCAGAACAGAATATGTTTTTATGTTTTCCTTTCAATTATGTGGTTATGAAATACATATTTATAGAAAATTGTACTAGATTTTTTATTTATTTAGAGACAGTGTCTCACTTTATCACCCTCCTTAGAGTGCTGTGGCATCACAGCTTATAGCAACTTCCAACTCCTGGGCTTAGGCAATTCTCTTGCCTCAGCCTCCTGAGTAGCTGGGACTATAGGGCCTGTCACAATGCCCAGCTGTGTTTTTGTTGCAGTTTGGCCAGGGCCGGGTTCGAACCCACCACCCTCTGTATATGGGGCCAGCACCCTACCCAGTGAGCCACAGGCACCACCCATGTACTAGATTTCTTTTTTCTTTCTTTTTTGTTTTTGAGATGGGTCTTGCAGTGTTGCCCAGGCCAGAGTATAGTGGCTGTTCACAGATGCGATCCCACTCCTGATCTGCATGGAAGCTTTGGTCTGCTCCATTTCTGACCTGGGCTGGTTCACTCCTCCAACAAGCAACCTGTTGGTCCTGTGCTTTCCCAGGAGGTCACCATATTGATGCTGAACTTAGTGTAGACACCCAGTCTGCATAGCACACTACAAAACTCCTGGGCTCACGTGATCTTCCCACCATACCCTCCAAAGTAGCTGGAACTACAGGTGTGTGTCACCATGCCCAGCTGTATAATACTTTTAAAAAATAAAATTCAGGAAACTTCTATAGCATGAGGAAAATAAAGGACTCTGAAGACTGCTGTCTATATTCATTGAGGGTCAACTCACTAAGAATAGTATACATATATACTATCAAAACTTTTTTCCTTTTAATTTCAAATAATAGTTGCTCAGTGCAGACTAGTTTAATTTTTTTTTTTCTTTTTAGAGACAGTCTTACTATGTTGCCCTTGGTATAGTGCCATGGCATCACAGCTCACAGCAAGCTCAAACTCCTGCGTTCAAATGATTCTCTTGCCTCAGCTTCCCAAGTAGCTGGGACTACAGACGCCTGCCACAGCGTCTGGCTATTTTTTGTTGCAGTTGTCGTTGTTTAGCTAGCCCAGGCCGGGTTCAAACCCACCAGCCTCAGTGTATGTGGCTGGCACCGCAACCACTGTGCTACAGGCGCCAAACCCAGAATAGTTTTAAAACATAGAAATACTAAAAAAAAAAAAATGTAGTATATACATTTTCCATATTTTTCTATGGTATTAGACAGTCTTATATTTTCATATTTTTTCTAGAAAAATGAAATCATACTATGTTAGTCATGTTTTCTTCACTTAGACTACTTTTTTTTTAGTTTTCATCATTTTAAGCATTTTTTTTTTTGCAGTTTTTGACCAGGGCTGGGTTTGAACTCCACACCTCCGGCATATCGGGCTGACGCCCTACTCCTTTGAGCCACAGGCGCTGCCCATCATTTTAGCCTTTTATTACATAAAAGGATAGTAAAATGACCCTCATGTACCCGTCTCCTAGCTTTAGCAGTTATCAACATTTTGCCAATTTTACAATTCTTCTACTTTTTATTTTTTCAGTTTTTTAAAAACTTCAGTTAATGTGAAGATACAAACAACCAAATCACAATATTTGACTTTGTTAGATAAAGTCCCTCTTGTAATTATGTCCTGCACTCAACAGGTGTGCCATATACCCCTACATTGTGCCTATTCAGTGGCAGCACCCCAAACCCCCTTACCTTCTCCTCTCTTCTTTTCCCTCCCCTGAACTTAAATTAAAGTAAATTTTTCTCCTATGTGGGTGTCTTACAATTCTTTTAAAACCAAAAGTTCGAGTTCTGATGCTTTCTAGAACCATGATCCCACCTCTTCCTAACAAGAAGAGTTACCTTACCAGATGGATAGTAACTTACCTGAAATCATGTGACTTGTGGTGGACTGAGGACCTCTGCTCTTTTTATGGCCACATGTGTAGCAGCCCATATAGCTTATGGCTAGGAGGAGTGAGAGTTATAAGAAATACCTATAATGGAACACCCTGGTGAAAAGGGCATGGAGAGGGATTTAGCATGAGAGAGCTCCTGAGATGAGAGCATTGGTAAATTTGCAGTCTCTACACCTATGGTATTGAGAAGCATAAGATCAGCCTTATATTAGGCTGGAGGAGAAGGCAGTCAAAAAGCATGCTCATTCTATCACGGACATGCTTACTCTGACTCTGTCTCCTCTTCTGCCTGCAGAATGCCAGCATGGTGTCTCTCTGTTAAAGATTACCAAGCTCTGCTAAGGACTAAAATCTATCTGTTCTAAGAAGACTGCTTTACTCTCTCTAAGACTCTCTCTCTCTCTCCAGCTAAAGTAGATAGCTCTCAAGCACCTAAGAGAAACTGTTCCTGAGCAAGTTAGCTTAGCGGTTCACATCCAGAACCTACCTAAGCCGGGTGCAAGACCTGGCCAGTACCGTGCCCTGACAAGTGGTGTCAGAAGCAGATCCTGACACACATGGACTCTACATATTTCATAATTGCAAATCAAAAGTGTTGCTAACTTGTTATCTCTTAAATATGTTCCAGAAACCACATTGTCCTACAGGAAAATGCACAGCATGCCACTCGGTTCATAGCTCTGGCAAATGTTGGAAATTCAGAAAAGAAAAAGGTAAAAATTGAGTACGTTAATGTTCATTGTCTGGTTGATAATGTTTCTTTTGCCCAATTTAACATTCAAATCTCTCTTCTCCCCAATTGCAAGTCCCAGCAGCTTTAGTGCTTCCTTATAAAAATATGGTAGTGAAAGGTAGGGTTTCCTTAGGTGCTTTCTAAGAGATTTAAGAGTAGAGTTTGGGAAAATAGGCCCAGTAAAATAAAGACAAAATATCAAATGAACAATGTTCCTTTCATCCCACATCCCTGTGGTTACCTCTTTGGGTATTTGTGAGTTTGCCCTCAGACAGTACTCTGTGTTTCTTATAGCAACTTCATTTAGCTGTAATAATAAAATTCTCCCAAGAATTTACCTAAGCCCTCCTTGGCTGTGGGAAATACATGTGCTAGTGATAACTGGAATCTATCTTTGTATTGGGAAACAGCCCAGGTAATGAAAGAGAATATACCAGGAAAATAGATGGTTTTTCTTGTTTCCTGGAGAGCATTTTGATTTCCCAGCGCTAAAAACAGCCTATTGTGGATTGAGATAGCTAAACAGTTAGAACAGTCAGCCAAGTGGGAAAATAAGCAGATAAATAATCTGAAGATTATTCCACTGTAACATACCATAGATAATGTGCATACAAAAGATAGGCAAATGCATATTTTGTTTTTTCCATAATGTTCTAAGCTTTTAAGTCCAATTGTTTCTTAGCAAGTTTAGATTTGTAATTTTTTTAATTGCCCTTTCAAACTGAATAGCACTTAGAGTATTTCCAGTCTGTTGCTTTGCTCTCAGGGACATACTGGCCTCAACTCTAAGGAACTCATACTTCAGTCAAAGGGCGTGCACAATTTTAAATTTGGGAAGGATTATTAAATTCATCTCGAAGTTTTGTTCTAGTTTCCCAGAAGTGTATGGCTTTTTTTTCTTTCCACATTCTCACTAGGTAGTGTCAAATTTTTATTAAAGTTCTTGCCAATCTTATAGCTGGTAGATGACTTATCATTGTAACTCGATTGTAGTTCCCTGAGGATATGTAGATTAGCCATCTATTTACATCTTATCTAAAGTTTGCAATCTCTGTGCCATTAGTTCAAGATTCTAGATATTTATATGAATATTTACTTCTTTGCTACTAGTCTCCAGAAAAATTTTTCAGCATGTATAGCAGAATTTTCATTACTTTATCAGTCCTTTTGGTAGTTCATGCATAGGCCACTGAATTGACAGTGCAGCCTCAAGGCCACATGTGGCGCTCCATATCTCCTAGTGCAGCCCCTCATCTGAATCTAAATTTCACACAACAAATCCCTTTATTAGTAATGTCTTTCATCACTTATGCTGTTTCCCAGGTATCACTATTTCCTGCAGCCAGGGAGAGCTTAGGTAAATTCTTTTTTTTTTTTTTTGAGACAGAGTCTCAAGCTGTCACCCTGGGTAGAGTGCCATGGCTTCACTGCTCACAGCAACCTCCAACTCCTGGGCTCAAGCGAGTCTCCTGCCTCTGCCTCCCAAGTTGCTGGGACTACAGGCGCCCGCCACAATGCCTGGCCATTTTTTGGTTGCAGCCATCATTGTTGTTTGGCAGGTCCGGGCTGGCTTCGAACCCTCCACCTTAGGTGTATGTGGCTGGCGTCCTAGCTGCCTGAGCCACAGGCACCGAGCCGGTAAATTCTTCATTAAAGAATTTGTTCTGTAAAATTTGGATTTAGTCAAAAGGATCCAGAAGACCATATGTAATATGTAGCTCCAAGGCTGCAGGTTCCCCACCCTAGTTGAGTTTCAGATGCTTTCTGTGAAATTTTCACAGTAAAATAGGTTGATTACATTTGGTTAAACAGTATTTCCCCTAATGTTGTTATGTTCTTTTTCCAAAAGTATCTTTATGCCTTCAGTATTGTTCCCATGAAACTAATGGATGTAGCAGAACTGGTAAAACAGCCTCCAGATGTCACTGAAAATCCTTACAGAAGATCTGGGCAAGAAGCATCTGTAGGAAAGCAAATTCCTGCTCTTGAGGTATGTTTTGATTGAGAGGTGGTATTTTCTGGGCAGGATTCCCCATTACAGATGTGCTTTTCTGGTTAATTTAATGCAAAGGCAAGTTTAGTCCTTATAATCTAAATCTTTTTTCCGTTCCTCTTTTTCCTTTATCATCGTGATGTTTAGAAAGTCTTAGTAGATTTTAACTAAGTTCAGTGTTTTTTATTGTAGTTGGCAGTTAACAGTTTCAAATGTTAAATCTTTCTTCCTATAAACTTGATTCACATGTTAAGGTTACACTTTGGTATGTTAAGTCTTTCATTTGCCAAATAGCCTCCCAGGCAAGTATCTAGCTGACATAGCCATGTAATTTATGATTTTGTTAATAATTGCTAGCAGGTGAATAAGAATCACTCTGAAGAAATTTTCTTAATAGCAGACTTTTCTGAAATTAATTTTTTTCTCCACTAAAGGAAAGAATGTCAAATTCTCTTACTAATATGCTTGGGCTGTTTTCTCAGGCGTTTCTCTTCTGAGCAGCCTTCTCATTTCTTTAAAGCTGAATCAGACTAATTTGACCTGTAAAATTGTGGGACTACAGCATGTCCCTATTGACAGAAAAAGGAAAAGCAATTTAGGTGAGCTAATTTTATTCTATTTTAGGCAAGAATTGGTCTATAACTTGCATTTTAACTTGCTTTTCCAAAGAGATGAATTTGGTGGTAGCTTGGGTAAGTGTTGATTTGTATGACTGAGAGTCTAGGCATCAGAATTGGGAAGACATTTTGCTTCCCTAGAATAGGCAGAAAGAAGTGATGTGGCAGCAATGTTCTCTTGTATGTGAATGGTTGACTACTTGTCTAAAGGTGAGGTGAGTAATATTTACTCTTCTGCCTTTGGCCATTCTAGGAAGAATCAGCCTGTCAGTTTTTCTTTGACTTAAATGAAAAGCAAGGAAGGAAGCGTCCATCCACAGGCAGAGACAGCAAATCTCCGCACCCAAAGCAGCCTCGCAAACCTCGTAAGTATCTTGGTTTTTTTTTTTATTGAATGGTAACTGTGTACATTGATGCACTTTGGGGGTACATAGCCTTCATGTAACTTTCTTAGTTATTGTGTTAAAACATTCATATTCTACTCATAAAAAGATTCACTTGTACCCTTGTAAGATGAACCACAGAAGTGAACCCTCGAATCCCTCTCCCTCCACCCTCTCCCCCCTCCCTCCCCTGCCATCCTTAGGTTGTTATTAGGTTATAGCTTTCATATAAAAAGGTTTAAATTAATTTCATAATAGGTGTGTGTACATTGGATACTTTTTCTTCCATTCCTGTGATACTTTGCTAAGAAGAACATTTTCCAGCTCCATCCATGTGAACATGAAGGACGTAAAGTCTCCATCTTTCTTTTTTTTTTTTTTTTTTTTTTTGAGACAGAGCCTCAAGCTGTCCCCCTGGGTAGAGTGCCATGGCATTACAGCTCACAGCAACCTCCAACTCCTGGGCTCAAGCGAGTCTCCTGCCTCAGCCTCCCAGGTAGCTGGGACCACAGGCGCCCCACCACAACGCCTGGCTATTTTTTTTGGTTGCAGCCGTCATTGTTGTTTGGCGGGTCCAGGCTGGGGATTCGAACCCGCCACCTTAGGTGTACGTGGCTGGCGCCTTAGCCGGTTGAGCTATAGGAGCCGAGCCAAGTCTCCATCTTTCTTTATGGCTGCATAGTATTCCATGGAGTATCTTGGTTTTAGACAAGATACTTGTTTGGAAAGCAGCATTGCTAAGAGAATCTCTGCTGGCAGGGGAGAATTATGTGATGAGTCATTAGGACCAATAGTAAATCAAAGTAATATAAACATAGCCTGACTTTGAGACTGTCTGAGGCTCTTCCTATAAGAAAGAAAGAAAAACAACCTTTCCTTTGTGTCTGTAAAACATGTTGAGAAAAAGAGCATATAAAACGAATGTAGGTTCATAAAATAATAATCAAATGAGAAGAAGGTCTTTAAGGCTGTTTCATTGAGATTCTTTCTCCACCCCCTTCTTTCTAAGAAGAAGCTGACCTTGAGAGAATAGACTATTTTCCAGGGTCATAATGGCATAGCTAGGACTAGAATTGGGACTCCTGACATCCTTTTAAGTAAATGTTCTTTATTATAGTGTATTGACAGTTATGTGCTCCTTCAGTCATTATGTGATTATCCATTTGTGGGTCATCTACTTGTGGATTGGTTACAAATTGAGAAGTTTTCTAATGGAGGTTATTATTGAACATGGTGATAAAGGTCAGAGTTAGGAGCACAACATGGCACTACTGAACAAGTCTTTATGAGATATAAAGATCAAAAAAGGCTGAGTTATATTCTGCAGTAGGGTGATTATATGCTGCAGTAGTGCTTGGACCATAGTAACACTTGGCTTTCTTCTGCATAAAGCTCAGCCTCCGGGACCATGTTGGTTTTGCCTTGCCAGCCCTGAAGTGGAAAAGCATTTGGTGGTCAATGTTGGGACACATGTGAGTTATATCTATGGACCTTTTACAGAGAAAGAGATGCCCATTTGGTTTTTATTAACTTTATTGAGGAATAATTTACACATAACATTTACCAATTTTAAGTGTTTGATTCAGTGATTGTTAGTAAGCTGAGTTGTGCAACCATCATATAATATAGTTTCAAACATTTCTACCACTCTAGTAAGATCCCTTATGCCCATTTTCAGTTAATCCCTGTTCCTATCCTCAGCTCTAGGCAGCAGCTAGTCAGTCTGCTTAATTTTTCCATAAGTTTCGAAGGTTTGTCTTTCCTGGACATTTCTTATAGATAAAGTCATAACAACATGTGGTCTTTTGTGTTTGCCTTCTTTTACTTAGCATAGTATTCTTTTTTTTTTTTTTTTTAAAGACAGAGTCTCACTCTGTTGTCCTAGGCTAGAGTACCATGACATCAGCCTAGCTCACCTCAAACTCCTCTATGTTCAAATGTTCCTCCTGCCTAACCCTCCTGAGTAGCTGGGACTTAGGCACCCACCACAATGCCTGACTAATTTTTCAAGTTTTAGTAGAGGCAGGGTCTCACACTTTCTCAGGCTTGTTTTGAACTCCTAAGTTCAAGGGATCCTCCTACCTCTGGCCTCCCAGAATAGCATAGTATTTATCCATGTTGTGGCATTTATTTCATTCTTACATTCTTTTTTATTACTGTATAGTATTTCATTGTGGCTATCCCACATGTTGTCTGTATCCATTCATGAGCTGATGAGCATTTGGGTTGTTTCCACTTTATGGCTGTTAGAAATAATGCTGCTATGAATTGCATGCAAGTTTTTATATGGACATATGTTTTCATTTCTTTAGGATAGACACCTAGGAATGGAATTGCTAGGTCATGTGGTAAATTTATGTTTTAACTTCTTAAGAAACTGCTAAACTGTTTTTCAGGTTGGCTATGCCATCTTATATTTCCATCAGCAATGTATGAGGGTTTTGGTTTTTATATATTCTCATTAGTGTTTGTTATTGTCTGTCTTTTTGATTAAAGCAATAGCCAGTGTCACAAGGTAGCTCCCTCTTTTTCTTCCTCTCTTACAAAAGGTATGGTTCTGCTCAGGTGATGCTTTTATATACTGCTTGCGCTGTCTGTATTTTTTTTTTTTTTTTTTGAGACAGAGCCTCAAGCTCTCCCCCTGGGTAGCGTGCCGTGGCATTACAGCTCACAGCAACCTCCAACTCCTGGGCTCAAGCGAGTCTCCTGCCTCCGCCTCCCAAGTAGCTGGGACCACAGGCGCCCGCCACAACGCCCGGCTATTTTTTGGTTGCAGCCGTCATTGTTGTTTGGCGGGTCCGGGCTGGCGATTCGAACCCGCCACCTTAGGTGTACGTGGCTGGCGCCTTAGCCGGTTGAGCTATAGGCGCCGAGCCCGCTGTCTGTATTTTTAATCCATGCTACTTAAGACTGATGAGTTGCTTTTGATAATTACTATTTTTTATTATTATTTTTTTTTTTCTTTAGAGACAAGAGTTTCATTTTGTCACCCTTGGTAGAGTGCTGTGGCGTCACAGCTCACAGCAACCCACAGCTCTTGGGCTTTGGCGATTCTCTTGCATCAGCTTCCCAAGTAGCTGAGACTACAGGTGCCCACCACAATACCCAGCTATTTTTGTTGTTGTTGTTGCAGTTTGGCTGGGGTTAGGTTTGAACCCGTCACCCTCAGTATATGGGGCCAGAGCCCTACTCACTGAGCCACAGGTGCTGCCCAATAATTACTATTTAAAATAGAGATTTTCTTCATCCTGAGAAGGCAATCTTATGTTGCTAAGTGCCCATATAGGTTAAAAATGTTGATACTCCCTTTATAGCTTCAAATTTAGAAGCTTGAGCTTATTAGTTTTTATCTAGAATTGTGTAACGCTGGGAACTGATTCTTACTAGTCACGTCAAAGATTAAAGTCTTTGGTAAATTCTCAGTTTTGCCTAGCAATAGAGGATATAACTTCATAATGACAGGAATACCCACATCCACATTCCTAGTTGTGAGTATCTGAGAACTCAAGATAATGATTGTAGGGTTACTCCATATGTGCTGAATCAGACTATGAGAACTGGAGGGTCTTGACTGAGTATGATGTTATTCAGGCAGTGGGAAGCCCTGCTGAACTGTATGTCTTTCAGGAAAGTCATTCTATTTCACATTTTCCCCACATACTTTTGCTTGGGTAGTGCTCAGTTTGACATTAAGTAATATTCTTTGGCCCTTCTCTGGATTCCCTATAGACCATTGTCCTTTTTCATTCATTTAGAATGAAGAAAGCTTAGTTTTCAGCACTCTAGTTTCCCGTGACTAGAATCAGATATTTTCCAAGGCTTCTGAGGGAAATATTTACAAACTGGTTTTCCTATGGTTTGAATGTGTCCCCAAAAGTTCATGTGTTGGAAACTTAACCCCCAATGCCACAGTATTGGGTGATAGGGCCTAATAAGAAGTGATTAGGATAGGTTAGTGTTATCACAGTTATCGAGTGGGTTGGCTATCTCGAGATAGGCTTGGTAATAAATTAAGTAAGTTTGGCCTCCTCTTTCGCCTTTGCTCTCACTCCTCTTGCCCTTCATCAGGGGATGATGTAGTGCAAAAGCCATCACCAGATGCCCATGCTGTATCCTTGGACTTCCTAGACTCCTGAACCATGAGCCAAATAAATTTCTGTTCATTAATAAATTACCCAGTCTATGTTAATCTTTTTTTTTTTTTTGAGACAGAGCCTCAAGCTGTCACCCTGGGTAGAGTGCTGTGGCACCACAGCTGACCGCAACCTCCAACTCCTGGGCTTAAGCGATTCTCTTGCCTTAGCCTCCCAAGTAGCTGGGACTACAGGCACCTACCACAACCACTGGCTATTTTTTGGCTGTAGTTGTCATTGTTGTTTGGCAGGCTGGGGCCGGATCTGAACCTGCCACCTCTGGTATATGTGGCTGGTGCCTTAGCCACTTGAGCTACAGGCACCGAGCCCAGTCTTTGTTACTCTTTTATACCAACACAAGACAAGACAATTTCTTAGCGTATAACGCTTCTGCAGGCAGATGTTCTCATCCATTTTTCGCTAATTCATTCTAATTTTTTTATTTCTTTTTCTTACCCTAACAAGCTAAGGGCCCCATTAGCTTGGGGAGTGCAGTGGCTCACTACAGCCTCAAATTTCTGGGCTCAAGCCATCTTCTCACCTCAGTCTCATAAATAGCTAGGAGTACAGGCATGCATCACAACACAAGCTGATTTTGTTTTTACCTTATTTTGTAGAGATGACATCTTACTTATGTTTGATGTAGAACTCCTGGCTTCAAGCAATCCCCCTGCCTCAGCCTCTCAAAGTGTTGGAATTACGGGTGTGAACCACTGTGCCTGCCGGAGGACTATTTTTTGTGGCCTCCTATAGACTGACCAGAGTCTCAGTTTCTTTACTTTAAGCCACTTTAAGGAGTTATACTTCTGCTTGTGTTCTTTCAAACTGAAGAGTTCCAGTCTTTTCTTTTTTTGGAGTTTCACTATCTCTCTGGGTAGAGTATTGTGCCATAGCTCATAGCAACTTCCAACTCTCAGGCTCAAGAGCTCCTCTTGCCTCCCAAGTAGCTGAGACTGTAGGCGCCTACCACAGCACCCAGCTAATTTTTCTATTTTTAGTAGAGATGGGGTCTTGTTCTTGCTCAGGCTGGTCCTGAACTCCCAAGCTCAAGTAATCCACCTACTTTGGCCTCCCAGAGTGCTAAGATTGTAGGCATGAGGCATCAGCCTGGCCGCCTTTATTTTTTATATTTTAATTATTGGCACACGCCTATCTTAGGAGAGCACTAATGGGGGCCATGGTCTGGGACATAATTGATCCATGGAGCCTGTGGATGAACTCTTCAGCAGAAGAAAAGCAAACTTGGAAAGCTTTTGCTTTTACGGGAATACCCTTTTTGGGTTATCTCTTTTGGACTGGTTTTCCTCTTTGGATTATTTAGTGTCATTTTTCTTTCCTATACAATTTTTACAGTAAGGCAGGCTTTGGATTGCTTTCTGTTTGAGAAGCCTCAGTATGTGCAAAATCCCATGCAGGAGAAAAGAGATTTGGAGTGAGTGATGTAGCTTGGTGCTGCTCTAGGCCTCAGCAAGTAATGTCCTTTCCTTTCCATTCATCTTTCTATTATCCATGGTATCTAACTCAGGATATGGCCTAGTGGATGGTTGAGGAAACCTGTTTTCTTCTCATCTAGGCCTGAAGCTGGAGGGCCAAAAGGTCTTATTTGTGGCTCAGCTCAATACCCCAAGTAGAAACCCACATGAGCATTTTTGGTCTATAGCCTACACTGTCCTTTATCTGTTAGAAACTGCTTGGGAACTTGTAATGACTCTTGGGTATCTGGGGAAGGGTTAGGATCCCCTCTTTGCCACCATTGTTTAAAAATTGCCTTTTATAAGAACCAAGAATGTGGCTCAGTAACTGTAGCAACGGTGGTTAGGGCGCCGGCCACATCCACCAGGGCTGATGGGTTTGAACCCAGCCTGGACCAGCTAAACAACACTGACAACTACAACAAAAAAATAGCTGGGTGTTGTGGCAGGCACCTGTATTCCAGCTACTTGGGAGACTGAGGCAAGAGAATTGCTTAAGCCCAAGAGTTTAAGGTTGCTATAAGCTATGACGCCACAACACTCTACCAAGGGCGACATTGTAAGACTCTGTCTCAAAACAAACAAACAAACAAAAATACCAAGGATGGGCTGCCTTGGGGAAAGAGGATCTAGGATCCAGTTGGTGCAGTTTTATGGCTTTTCCCTAGGTATATATTTTAAAACTATTATTTAAATAGATAATATAAGCATGCAGCTTAAAAGGAAACCTCCAGAGGTATAAAGCATTGTCTCAGTTTTAATTAAAAAGATACTGTATCAGCACCAAAAAAAAAAAAAAATTGCTTTTTATTACTTTCCCCCTCCCCCGGCTTTTCTGCCTTTGCTGTGCTTTCCTCTATGTGTGTACATAGAACTACGCTTATAGCCCATCTCCTCAAATTGGTAGAAAGGAGAGAAGACTCCTAGGAGTCTAAAATAACTATAGCAAAATCCATGCATTTTGCTGATGGGAGAAACGTTCATTCAGGACCTATTTATACATTGTTAGGTTTCAAGTATAGAACAGACGAATGGTGTCTGGGTGCTGTGGCTCATACCTGTGATCCCCCCAGCACTTGGGAGGCCAAGGTGGGCGGATTGCCTGAGCTCATGAATTCAAGACCAACTTGAGCAAGAGCAAGACCCCATTTCAAAAAAAAAAAGAAATAGTGGGCATTGTGGTAGTTGCCTATAGTCCCAGCTACTTGGGAGGCTGAAGCAAGAGAAGCACTTAAGCCCAAGAGTTTGAGGTTGCTGTGAGCTGTAACGCCACAGCACTCTACCGAGGACAACAAAGTGAGACTCTGTCTCAAAGGGAAAAAAAGAGGAGAAGAAGAATGGGTGAAAGTTTGAAATAGCGGAGACTGGGCAAGTGTGAAACTTTTCTCAAAAACTTGAAGTATTGCATTGGATGTGGGGGAGCTATTTAGTCTAGATGTCAATAGCCAAAAAATGGACATCACAATATAAAAGCTATGTTTGTGACAGCGACATTCTGACATAAAGAAAAGGCTAGAAGACTCAGGCTTCTAGAGTAACTTTTTAAAACAAAATTAAAAATGGTTATAGTAAAAATCTGAAAAATATTTTAGTGCCTGTGAGATTTCTTGAATATTAGTGATCTAGAAAATTAACCTTGTCGATGTGTGCAGTCCTCTCTGCCAAATAAATCAAGAATGACATACTTTAGTTTGTTTCTAATATGTATTCTGCCATCCTGTTGGCCTTTCCCATTGTAGATGAAAAATAAATGACTCCTTCCTTCCTTCAGCTTTAACTTTGATCCCACCATACTAAGAATATAGCTTGGATTTTTTTCCTAAAGTACCCATGCTTGCTTGCATTGATATTCATTGGGCTCTTTTGTGCTCACTCTTAGTATCTTCTCTTTCAAAGAATATCTGAGTGGTAGAACAGTCCTGTATGTTTTGGGGTTATTTTTTCTTTTTTTTTTTTTTTTGTAGAGACAGAGCCTCACTTTATCACCCTCAGTAGAGTGTCATGGTGTCGCACAGCTCACAGCAACCTCCAACTCCTGGGCTTAGGCGATTCTCTTGCCTCAGCCTCCTGTAGCTGGGACTACAGGTGCCCACCACAGCACCCAGCTATTTTTTTGTTGTAGTTTGGCCTGGACCGGGTTCCCGCCACCCTTGGTATATGGGGCCAGAACCCTACCCACTGAGCTGCAGGTGCCGCCCCCATGTTTTGGTTTTTATAGAAATACTTTTAGTTGCTATTAAAGGCTGACATCCACTGTTGGAAACTGTAGTTTTCTGCCTCTTTGGATGTATCTAAGTTTGAGATTGCTCCTTCCTTCCACCTCATTTGGCTGTATGATTGCTTCATTTTATAAAATGTAGTTAGCAGCTCAATTCTGTAGCAGCATTAGATCTAGTCATGCATCTCAGCCTTTTTTGTTAGTCCAAGGAATATATTTGAGGAGTGGAAGTGGGGCCAAATGTTATTAGGGAGGCCAAAAGTGGTTATTTTGAAATCAGAAGTGGTATCTTTTATGGTTGAAGGCAATAATAACTGAAAAACTTTTCAAATTTGGAGCCTAGGCGGGAAGACCAAACTGTTTGTTGTTAATGATCTCTTTCAACTATGATGTATTTGAAGCCAAAGCCTGATATGTGCGTCTCTCAATTCATCTTCTCCTAGTTCATTTGCTACTCACATAGAAATATGTGGCATTTAATCTTACTCTTCAGTAGATACTTCAGAATACTGTTGCTTTTGTTCGGAAATCAGATTTTTTTTAAAGTCAGAATTTCTGGTGATAGCCTCTTGAGCACTTTTCTTTGTACTCTTATGCTAATTCTTTGTATAGGCTTTTTGCCCTGCAGAATCACAGATGTGGTGTTGATGTCTCAGTTCTCTGTGTTGCTTCTTCAGTGCTACCTTGCTCTGGCCAAAGGAGGCTTATCCAATGACCATGTCCTCATCTTGCCCATCGGACACTATCAGTCAGTGGTGGAGCTTTCAGCAGAGGTGGTGGAAGAGGTGGAAAAGTATAAGGCTACACTGAGAAGGTTCTTTAAGAGTCGAGGGAAACGGTGTGTCCTATTTGAGAGAAATTATAAGAGCCATCACCTCCAGCTACAGGTAGGTAGTCTGTGCACAGGAACTTGGAAGGGCACTGTGGGGACCTTAATGTTGAGAAATAAGTATTTAATATTTAACTTCAATACTTAAAATATTTAATATGGATTTTCATATTAATACAGTGTTCATTTAAAAGGTTAAAGAGTGGTGATAACCCTAGAGATTTCACAGGGAAGCATGTGGTTAGTATAAGTGAACAGCACAGAGCATAAGCGCCTTGTTTAGAAAAGGAATGGATGGTTGAGGAAGGTTCTAAGGAAGATGTGAGCCTTCCTAGATAAGACAGTTTGGAGGGTAGTGGGTATTTTGTTTCTAGAGGCCCAACATGAGTGAAAGCTTAGAGGTAGGAGATAGACTGCATGGGGCTAATGGCTCAAAAAACTAAGATTTTGTATAAATAATTTGTTTGTAATTGTGGTGGTTTTCTTTCTGGCACATTTGTTAAGTTTTCAAGTGTACCTAACTCTGCCACATATATTATATCGGAGCTGGCAAAGGCTTGATGACAAAGAGATCTTCTGCCTTTCCTCCATCAGAGATGGCTCCCACATGCAGCAAGCTATCTCATAAGTTTAAGTCCTTATGGATAGGCTGACATAGGCTTGTCTGATCTGAGGAGAATCTCTGCTGAGGGGTGTCTTTCCACCCCTGTGATGGATTTGCTACTTCTCAGAGATTGTGTGGATACAGCATCTCTGGGAATTGTACAAAGAACTTCTCCTTTTCTCCCCCACACTCCCCCTAGGTCATTCCCGTGCCACTCGCCTGCTGCACCACTGAGGACATTAAAGATGCCTTCATAACCCAGGCACAGGAGCAACAGATAGAACTGTTAGAAATCCCAGAGCACTCTGACATCAAGCAGGTGAAACCAGAGGGGGGCAGGATGCTGATCTTTAGGGAAGAGTAGAGATCTGGTTTTTGACATGTTGAATCTGAGGCACCATCAAGGCATCCCCCAAATGTTAAAGAGGCAGTGGACAACTTAGAACTAGAGCACTGGCTATTGTTTAGAGTGCAGATAAAGATGGCATTACTGTAAAGTATTAGTGTTTTCTTGGGAAGAGCAAGAAATTAGAAATTCCCTAAGAAATTCCCTTAGAACTGGCTCGGCGCCTATAGCTCAACCGGCTAAGGCGCCAGCCACGTACACCTAAGGTGGTGGGTTCGAATCCCCAGCCCGGACCCGCCAAA